GTTTCCCTTTAGCCTACACAACAGTTTACGGCATTTTACGACTTGTCTACGCCAATGAAGCGTAAGTTTGAATGTGAGAGTGAAGTGGACGTAAAAGTATCTTGAAAAGTTATCAAACTATAAGAAAACTGAAGCCAAAAAGCGGTAGAACACACTGGCTACAGTAAATAACGCCCTAATGTAACTTTGTTCTCAGAAAAAAAAATTGTGGGTGTAAATTAGATATAAATATATTCTAGTGACCGACAGACATCTATGTGTGATATATTATTGCTCAGTATAGAAAAGCTCAGGTGGCTTCGTCACACCTAGAGAATGGAGGATGGCAGAGTCCATAAGGACATCGTCTATGGTGAATTAAAAACCGGTAGATATGGAAGACTGGTGCACTGGTCTTGCTAGTCACATTCGCCATCGCCATTTGCTGTGTCTCATGCTTCCTCATAGCGCAAAATAAGACAAGTCTGGAAAGTTGGGAAGGTGTCAATCAATCAATTATACATGCAGTACATTGCTGGCTACTAGGTTTCTATTTCAGGTAAAAATAATATAAAAATCTTTGACTTATTAAGGCTTTGAATTTGTTACCACAAAAGCATTACGTAAGTCATCTGGTGCTACAATATACTGGTTCAGTGTGTACACGAAGAACGCTATACAGTACTAAAGCCATCAGGCTGTGGTAAGATTCATTCGCATTTTCGTTTTAATATTAGGAAGATCGAATAACCTTTACTATATAGGTACAAATAAATCGCACTTTCATGCATGTTTATATTTATGGTTGTCTGGGTTGCATACTTTCTTTTCTTAATATTCTATTTATTTTCTTGGACCAGATGTTGGATCAAAAGCACTGGGCATCTGCAGTGGATACTTTACGCTCCCAACCTCTTTTGTTTAAAGGTAATAAACTTTTAATAATTGGTCACACTTTTCTTTTATCATTCATTTGTCTCCCATCACAAACCTAGTTATATAGAACGTACCTGAAACCGCGTATCAGTTTGCTTGTTCTACTAATACAAGTGTATTTCGCGCGATGAGAAATATCATCAGTCGTTTTGAAAACATTCTATCTGTATATACAGTTCTATTCTCTATTCTTACTACAGACAAATCTGCTGTCTTTTCTTTCTCCCTCTTTCAAGTCTTTATTCTTTAACATACATTGAAGTGATTGAAAATCTATGTTAGTATGTATATATGTATATAAAATATATTTAAGGATGAATAAAACCCAGCAGGTTGGGTTAAATGCCACCACCAGCTTCACCCATATCATTCTCCCCTCCATACACATTGAAGGGTGTTAGAATGACACCCTATGGCAATAGTAACTTCAAAAAAAAATTTGACCTCTAGCAGTTGAGAGACAGGCGTACAAAAAATACCAATCAACGCACATCAAATTGACTGGAAATATCCTCAAGCAAAACCCACATAGGAGATTTTCAACTTCGCTGCACTCGTGAATGCTTCACAGGAAATAAACGATTCCTGTCCCGCCTTATACAAAAGATATCTCCCTTAAATACTATGTAAAGAATGTACAAAATGTTTTTATTATGAATGTTGTAAATTACCATGTTTTTGTAACGCAATGCACAATTAATCGAACACATACAACGCTCTATAATAACACTGAACACACACATTAACAAAAAAGCAACACATGTAAATACACGCACAGAATTTGAAAGTGATCAATAAAAGCTTTTCAAAAACGAAAAAAAAAAAAAAAAATTAAAAGGGGTTGTTAACAAACATTCATATGATTCTGTGCAAATCGCAGTATAGCATCCATACAACGGAGTGCAAATCACTGTTGGAACATCTCAGCCATGTTGGTGTAATATTTCTGACAAAGAACGTTGCACAATATGTAATAAGTATGAGAAACGGGTCGCTGATCGTTCTGTCTTATGAATTCAAATATATGTGGCCGCTGCTTAATTGGAGCAATTTGTTTTGTTGTTGTTGTTGTTGTTGTTGTTGAGGAAAATAGTACCTCCTATACAAAAACGAAAGTTCTCGGCTTGAAAAGCTGTCAGTAGTCAATTTCCTCTCAGCTTAACAGGTGATCCAAGCCTCAGGTTATATTATGTTATCACAATCGGCGTCTTTGCACACCGGGTAACCCCTGGAAGATTTATTCATCTGTACTGTAGTGAACACAACTAACCCTTCTAGTAAAGAACGCTTTCCCACTCCTTCAGGTGTAACGCAGATATATAGCTAGACCTTTATTTTATAGACCAGTCGGCACTCGGTTGGTAATGTGGTCAACATCACGCCGGTCGCCTTTACTTCTGAGGACTTTACCTAGTACCAATTCTGGGAACAGAACTAACATGTTAAAAGGAGGGGAGGGGGTGGGGGGGGGGGGGTGTTATTGTGTTCTTGCATAGAGTTGTATTGTGTTCTTGTATGGAGTTGTATTGTGTTCTTGTATAGGAGTGTATTGCGGTCTTAACGTGGGGGGGGGGGGGGGAGGGGGGTGGTGTTTTTGTGTTCTTGCATAGAGTTGTATTGTGTTCTTGTATGGAGTTGTATTGTGTTCTTGTAAAGGAGTGTACTGCGGTCTTAACGTGGGGGGGGGGGGGGTGTATCGTGTTCTTGTATACTGTTTTAATCTGTAAAAAAAAAAAAAAAGAGTAAAAAGTCACGATCCCTTTCAGGCGTATCTGGTATATCAGAAGAGGGCTCATATTTACAGACCATCGGCACTAGCTGGGTAATGTGGTCAGCATTACGTTGGCCGTCTCTACTTCCCCAAGACAGCCATCCTGATACCCATTTTAGGCTGGGTCGACCAGCGAAGTGTGTCACCGGGGCCCTCACGGGAAGCAAAGAATAGTGACACTGCACCCTACCAGGCATGTCGTAAGAGGCGACTAAGGGTAGGATTGGGCTTGAGGTTGGCTACCTCATCCTGTAAAAATCATAGCCAAAAAAACCAACCAACCATGGATAAGTCAAAAAGAGAAGCAAATAAAATCCAGCCAACCAAGATGAGGGGAGGCTCTTCAAATAGAAGAAGTATGACACGGTGTGGAGAAAGCCGTAAAGAGTCCGGATCGTTGACTTACCTCCTCTCAGCTAGGAAAACCTCCAGAATTGGCACCTGGAATGTTAGAACTCTCTATGATATAGGGAGAACAATGGAAGTAGCAAAGGAAATGAAACATTATAGAATTAGTATTTTGGGGTTATGTGAAACTAGATGGACTGGGACAGGGAAAAGTATTCTTAATTCAGGAGAAACTATTTTGTTCTCAGGACACACAGAGGAAAATTCGCCGCACAGTGAAGGAGTGGCCCTGATGCTATCAAAAGAAGCAGACAGGGCACTAATAGAATGGGAAGCTGTGAGTCCCAAAATAATAAGAGCATCTTTTAGAAAAGTAAAACAGAAGGTGAACATGTTGGTAATACAGTGTTATGCACCAACAAATGATAAAGATGCATCTGTTAAGGAAGATTTTTACATGCAGCTTCAAAATATTATAAATAATGAAAGAAAGGGCACTTAAAAATTGTGATGGGTGACCTGAATGCTAAGATAGGATCAGAGAACACAGGTTATGAAGAAATTATGGGGAGACATGGTCTAGGAGTAATGAATGAAAATGGAGAATTGTTCACAAATTTCTGTGCAGATAACCAATATGTTATTAGTGGAAGTATTTTTCCCCATAGAAGTATACACAAGGCAACATGGGAATCACCAGACCATAAGACAACTAATCAAATTGACCACATATGTATTAACAAAAAGTTTAGATCATCCATTTACGATGTTAGGGCTTTCAGAGGTGCCGATGTATTTACTGACCATTTCCTGGTGATAAGTAAAATCAAGTTGAAACTAAAAAGATATATAACATCTTATAATCATAGAAACCAATATAATGTAGGCTTTCTCAGAGATAAGGAAATTAAGGAACAGTTCTCAGTTACGGTCTCTAATAAGTACCAGGTGTTGCAGCAGTTAGCTGAAGATGTCAACACAGAAGTCTGCTGGGATCAGATCAAAGGAATCTGGAATGAATCTTGCGTAGAAGTTCTTGGCAAGAAAGAAAGAAAACATAAAGCATGGATAACACCAGAAACCATTAAACTGATTGAAGATAGGAAACGTAAAAAGGCAGATTTAAACAATAGCAAAATTAGAGCTGCTAAAGCTAGAGCTCAGGAGAATTACACAGAAGCCAACAAGGAAGTTAGGAGGCATATAAGGGCAGATAAAGTGAAATATCTAAATGATCTAGCACAAGAAGCGGAGACAGCAGCAGCAAAAGGAAACCTCAGAGAACTTTACAGTAACACAAGAAAATTAGTAGGTAAATATAGTCAGCCAACTGGATCAATCAAAAAATAGTCAAGGAAAGGTACTTACTAACACTAAAGATCAAATGGACAGATGGGTTGAATATTTTGAAATGCTTCTAAATAGACCAGGCCCAGAGGTTCCCCCAGATATCCAGCCTTTAGAAATGGAACTGGATATCAACTGTGAGATACCATTCAAAGAGGAAATTAGAAAAGCTATAAATCTTCTTAAGGAAGGAAAGGCGTCAGGCCCAGATGGTATCCCAGCTGAAGCCATCAGGACCAACATAAACACATCAACAGAATTGCTACATAGATTATTCAGTAAAGTCTGGGAGACCGAAGAAATACCAGCAGACTGGAGAGAATGATATCTTGTGAAACTGCCCAAAAAAGGTGATCTACAGGAGTGTGAAAACTATAGAGGAATTATGTTGCTGTCAGTTCCTGGAAAAATATTAAGTAGTATTATTTTGGAAAGATTAAAAGATGCTATTGATAAAATGCTAAGAGATGAGCAGGCAGGTTTTCGGTCAAACAGATCCTGTACTGATCAGATAGCCACATTACGTATTATATTAGAGCAAAGCATTGAACTAAACTCACCACTTTACATTGGATTTATAGACTATGAAAAAGCATTTGACAGCATTGATAGGGAATCTCTCTGGAAATTGATGGGGCACTATGGAATCCCACAGAAAATTATCAACTAAGTAAAGGCAACATATAAAGACATGAAATGTCGAGTTCTTCATGAGGGAAAGCTAACAGATGCATTTGAAATAAAAACAGGTGTGCGACAGGGATGTCTTTTGTCGCCTCTCTTATTTTTACTGGCCATAGACTGGACTATGAAAACAGTAACTGCTAACACCAAGAATGGAATTCAGTGGACCCCTACAAAACAGCTTCATGATCTGGACTTCGCTAATGATATTGCTCTTCTGTCCCATTCACGGAATCAGATACAAGATAAATTAAATATACTTAATGCGAGATCACAGCAGCTTGGTCTGAAAATTCATAAAGGAAAGACAAAGATAATGAGAATAAATCAGGCAAATAGTAATGTGGTTTCTCTTAACGGCACCCCACTCCAAGACGTGGAGTCGTACACCTATTTAGTCAGTAATGTAGATAAAGATGGAGGAACTGATAGAGATATTAAAATTAGAATACACAAGGCAAGAGGGGCTTTCAGAGCACTAGGGAATTTGTGGAGGTCAAAAGAAATTAAAAGAAATACTAAACTAAAGATTTTTAATTCTAATGTCAAATCAGTACTATTGAATGGGGCGGAAACATGGAGAACAACCAAGGCAATTACTAATAAATTACAGACATTCATTAACTGGTGCCTGCGCAGAATAGAGGGAATAAAATGGTATGATAGAATAACTAATGAAGAACTTTGGGAGAGAACTACACAGGCTCCAGTGGATCAGGAGGTGAGGAAAAGATGCTGGCGTTAGATAGGGCACACACTGAGAAAACAGGAGAACAGCATAACTAGAATGTCTTTGCATTGGAACCCACAGGGGCATAGGAATAAAGGAAGGCCAAAAAAC